TATTATTATTATTATTATTATTATTATTATTATTATTATTATTATTATTATTATTATTATTGTTATTGTTATTATTATTATTATTATATTATTATTATTATTATTATAATTATAATAACAATAATAATTATTATTATTATTATAATTATAATAATAATAATGACAAGATTAATAAGTAATGATAATAATACTAGCAAGCAGGTACAATCAATGCAATCATATAGAGTTTTATCGGATGTTTCGCAAATTTGATAATTTTTGATCTCTGTGGAAATTGTAGGTAAAGCTTGTTTTCGGAAATTCTTCCGTCTTTTTTTTTTGAAATGAGAGTTTTAAAACTTTTCAAAAAAAAATTATTCATCCATAATCTAACAAAATCGAAAAATATGGATAATTTTGTCAAGGCAATATAAATAATCCAAATTTGTCATGCTATTTCGATATACATTTATTTACATTCTAATTTTTAAAACAAATGATTTATTGAACAGCAATGCTATAATTTTAATTAGTTAATGCCATTACGAAGTATTTACTATTACCTTTCCATGATTAGAAACTATAGAATTCTAGAAGTTTATGATTGCTACGTGATATGGTAATAATGTCTTGGATTATCATTCATTTGTTTTCTAATATCAGTTGGATTATTTGAGAATTATCTACCGGGTGCGGTAATTATCAGAATGTAAAGAAATGTTCGATTGATAGGTTGCATGGCTTCATTATGCTTTATATAAAATGAAGCATTAGTTATAATTCCACCTTCGAAACCAAATATGAAGCCGAAAAATGACGCAAAACCTGCAGCTGCATAAAGACGACACAGACGAGATGACTGAATCGATGCTACGTATGGAATGTTCATGTTAGAGCATTTCAACTGCAAAGAAGAAAAACGAATCAATTAAGTAAGCAGATGAAACTGCATTTAATTCAAGGGAAAATGAAAAAGATCGTAATCAAATGGTTGACAAATGATTTTTATTATTCGTTTGAAACTTAGTCCCTTTCCATCAGGTATTCGTGGAAATGTCTGAAGATGCGACATATAAATGACAAATTAATTATGCTAATTTTCCAGCATGTATTTCAAGGGGAAAGGGGAGGGGGAGGGTGGGGGTGGAGGCACCCTTCTAATTCATTATGAAAAAGTCATCTGTATGAAACCGTCCAGAAAAGCATAAATTTGTTTGTTGATTAGATCACATTGATGTATTTTTACCGAGCAATAACATTTCAAAATCTTTCCGTTAACTCTTAGAGATGAAAAATGAAACTGAAACTGACAGCATATTTCGATAATCTTCTAAAGACATTTAACTCTCTCAAAACTAAAAGGCAATTTCTAAATTGCCTTCCCAATCGAACTTTTTTCTTTAAAAGCAATTTCACTTACTTTTTTTATTTTTGAATAGCAATTTCTTTCACAGAATTTCAGAAATTTCAGAAATGACAGATTGGATGAAAAGGAAAATGTAAAAGAAATATAAGCTATCGTTGTGAATACTTGCATATTACAAGTAGCTTTTTATAGCCCGACGACTTTAATTAATATTATATCTAACAGTTATGGCTAAAACGATGAACATTGAGCTTAATAAAGTGCAAAAAAAAAGGTAGACACGATGAAATTGGATATTCTAAACCAATCCCTGCTCTGCTCCGTACGGAAATTTTATTGTATAATAAATTCGGGGAATTCAAATCACCGAATTTGAAAAGTGGACGAACACAACTGGGCAAATGGTGGTTTTTTAACTCCTTTAAAAGCTCCTAAATTCATCTCTTCGCTAAAAATCGAAAGTAACCTTATCATTGCAATGTAACATTTTAATATGTGAATACCTTCTTTTTGCCTTTCCTTTTTTTTTGCCTTTCCTAAACAAAAGCCAAACGATTGGAATGGAAATCAAATTTTAGTTCTCGAGGTAAACATGATCACCAATAGTTTGATGATTCTAATAGTTAGCTTTCCAATGGTTCAGTAATAGTTTGAACTATTCTAATAGTTCTTACTAATAGTTTGATATTTTTGATGGTTATGTTTAGCGCACAATTTTCTGCTCTTAGTCATTTGAATGAAAAACTGAAAGATAAGGACTAGTCACACTGAATTCACGAAGCATTTTCTAATGCAATATGAAATTTCCGTGCCTTTTTCACGGTACCTTTATTCCATTAATCAGTAGTGCACTTTCATAAGAACCAATTCAGGATCAAGCTTGGCCGCTACATCGATCCGCAACAACACGAAACCCTCCCTTCTCGACGACAAATATCACTCGGAAAGCCTTGAGAATGAAAAGGCCAACTGCTCAAACTGTGGCAAATATAATTATTTATATCATTTACATTTATATTTATAACTTTTCACATAAATGCCACAATTAGAAGTACTCCCATTGAAATTACTTACTAATTGCGAATGAACTGTTATTTCTTTATAGCTTATGAAACGAATTAGACTATTTGATTAAACTTGTGGAAATCACAAAACAGATGAATATTATCACATTTTACATATGTATCTACTGATTAATCATAAAAAATGGATTTATTCTTCATTATTCTCAAAATATATCTTTTTTCTTTCTTCCACTATCCATCAAGTCATTGAGTCGCTGTTGTCGACTCATTAGCTGTTGTATTTCGTCACGACATTTTAGCAAATTTTTCTTCAACCTGTCGGCTGTAGCAGCATCACGTTGGTTACGTGTAACACCTTCACGTAGTTTACGCTCCCTATTTTTCAGCTCTTTCAATTTCTTATCCAAATTTAACGCTTGAATACCAAGACTTGTCGAGGAACAATTCTAAAAAAATAGTTTTTCAAACAATATAAATAGGCAACACCCTACAAAATTATTTTCCTTCACTAAATTTAATGTGCCAAAAAAGCTGAAGTGGAAGAAAAAGCAAGTTTAGAAATACAACAAAAAGTACCCTAACAGCTATTTTTGAATCCAATATTAATTTGTTTTTCTTACTAACTGAGTCAGTAAGCACTACCGCAACAGCATGATTACCGCAACATTAAACGATATAACGCATTTGCCAATAATAAAGCAATTGTTTATTTAAAAAAAGGAAAAAAAGATATATTGCCAAGTAAAAACTGAGAATCCCAGCCATGAACTTTGAAAAAATTAACCTACAAGAAATATATCTTAAAAATCAACCCAAAAGCCGGACTTCTAGTCACTTGATGCAAGAATATGCCCACCTGCAACCTTTCTATCTCCTTCACTTCATCTCTTCGTTCCTCTTCAGCCGAAGTTTTATTTAATTTATCATTCAACAATTCGAAAACATCGACTGGCCGTTCAACGGCTTTCAGCTGTTTCGCGATTATCTTTCTCACTTGTTGAGATTTCATTCCGTCCACTACTCTTCTATTCTTCGCTTCCATACACATATCCAATGATTTATCTTAAGAACAAATATATATATATATATATATATATATATATATATATATATATATATATATATATATA